GAATGATAACGCAACTGCTGATAGAAGTAGCTGGACGATCAAACGGAGTCAAATGCTGCTAAACTGATTTGATTTCACAGTACAGGTAATGACCCAGAACATAGCGCAAAGGCAACCCCGGAGCTTCCTAGGTCAAACAAATGGATTGTTCTTAAATGGCCGAGTCAGACCTCAACCAAGTTAAACATGTTTTTTACTTTATAAAGATGAGACACCGCAGACAAGCAGCAACTGAAGGCAGCTATGGTTAAGGCCTGGAAAAGCCTCTCAAGAGAGGAAACTCCGAACTTAGTGATGCCCATTGTTCTAGGTTTTAAAAAAATTCTGATGTTGATAAGTTGTGCATGTTTACAATTATGTTAGTTTTGTTCAAATAGCCTGTGAAAATGTAGGGACTGTAGAAAAAAAAATACAAAAACATTTCAGTTGATGCAATATTTTTGCTAAACCCTTCAATCACATCTTGAAAGATTCATTTAAAGTCTATATTGTGGTTGTGTATCGATACAAAACTACAAATATTGTGTCACTTAAGTCCAAAAACTTCAGGACCTGACTGTGCATGTAAACCCCTAGTTACAAAACAGTATTATTTTTGCAATATCATACTCCATGAGTCCAGTCCTTTCTGCTTCTCTCTCTCTTTTGCGATAAACAGAAACAGGACAAAAAGCCTGTCTCGGTTTGATGGTTTTACATAACCTGTACTTTTAAGGGAATAGTGCGCATTGTGATTCAATGTTGTGTACAGTTTGCTCCTCACTCACTTGATTTGAATGCTCACTGCCGCCTCACCTCGTAGAAACAAGGCACAGTTATAACAGAAGTATAAAAACTCCTTGTTTTACTTAAAAAAAAAAAAAAAAGATAGCTAGCGAGAGAGAGCGAGGATACATTTACCATCAGTGAAGGGTGAGTCCTTCAGCAGACGGGGTCAGCGCTCTAATCTGAGGAGGTGATGACATTGTGAGGATATTTAATGAGAGGATAAGAGCAAAACCAAGGGGCGGGGGAATTAGCCTTTTTAGATATCATTAAACATTAATACTGTCAGGGGACTGGGGCACACTGGGGTCCTTTTCATTGACTTTCATGCTGCGTGCTAATAGAGTTTCACCTCTGGGGACCTCCGCACACCCCACCCCCAAACCTCGGTGCAAAGCTAAAGCCAAGTGAAGATCAGATCGCCACCCCGCTTCTGAGGATGAGATTAGCGAGGGTGTGTGTGTGTGTGTGTGTGTGTGTGTGTTAATTGTAGATTATGTGAGGTTATGCACACTCTCTCTTGCTCTCTTTCTGTCTTTTGCTCATGTGTCTGAGAAAAAAA